ATAATAATAAAAAATGTTCATTATGGTAAATAAAATGTTAAGTTGATCTAAGTACGAGTTTTTCTTCCCGATCTGTACAAAATCATGATAGAAAAAAAGGAATATTATTTTCAAAAACTGGGGAGTAGAATTGTGGAAAATCCGTTATTAAAACCAAAACAACTTTTATGAAGTTTAAATTCAAAGGCCTGTGTGATTAATAAGGGCTTATAATCAAAGAATTTAATACTTTGTCAAAATATTGACACCAATAGATTTTGATAATTCACATTAAACTGATGAAATTATAGTTTGAATATATGAATAAGCAAAACAAATACAATTGTGTAATAAGAGTTAGTAGGACAATGATGGTTAATACATTTAATGATAATTAGCAATTTAAATTTGATTCTGAAAATACACCAAATTTAAAATGGCTGGGTGTGGCCTAGTGGTTAACTTGCTAGGCTGTAGATTTGAGGGTCCATGGTTTGAATGCACATTATACCATTAAACATAATTTACGCTTTCAGTTGTGGGTGCATTGTAAAACTGATAGTCATGACAGTCAATCTATCTTTGTTTGAAGATTATAAGCAGCAGATATTGACTGGTTGCCCTCCTTTAATCAGCAGTTCTAAATTATGGATGACTATAGCTGAACCACAGGATCTCTGACCTGACTATTTTGCAGAAGTGTTGATAAGATGTCATTCAGTTTGAAAAATTCTATACCAAACCTTAAAAGTGACAACCAGTATTTTCTTTTTTAGATAAGGAACTGAATTCCATTCCTCTCTCGTGCCTCTTCCAGTGTGCATCCTAAATCTGTCTCATGAGTTATTAGAAAAACGTTTGAGTTGCTATTCCTATGTTTATGAGCACGTATGAGATTATTTTTATGTTTGTGGATGCAAAATTTGTATGTTTTATCCAAGTTAATCTGATCCTTTATGGATTTGATTGAAAGCTAAATTACTATTCATACACTAAATGTTCTAGGTTTGAGTCCTGGAATCTAAAATTAAAGTCATAAGAGTATTATTGGTTTCTAAAATTGCTTAACTAATCAGTTTACATTTTTATTGTGGAGTCACAGGTGGGAATCAATATTTCATCTGTATATACTCTATCTTTGTTGTTTACATCTGCCATGCAAAAGCATAAGATAGTAAAGATAGGGTATTAAAGTAGTTATGGTAAGGTCGTGGTGATCAGACATAGTAGTCTATATGATCATCTAAGTTTAATTAGTAATTGTTAACTAATTTTATTATTATATGTTAATAACCAAATACTAATTACACATTAGTTTTTATCCAATGTTTCAGTTGCTAATCTGTTGCTGTCTTCAAGAAAGTCCTAAGAAGGATTGTTTGTGAGGTGGTAGTGGCTGGGATTTGATTTTTCTTGAATGACAGAACTCTTAAGGGATAAGAACCAATCAAAAAGACTCCACAGTAAAATAACTCACAATCACAACCTTCTGTATCAACACATCCTATTTATTTCAAACATCAAAATAAATACTATTAATAACAATATTAAAGCAGTTATGGTAAGGCCGTGGTGATCAGACATAGTAGTCTATATGATCATCTAAGTTTAATTAGTAATTGTTAACTAATGGACTCTCCTCTATCACCAATATACGGTAACCTCAATGGAAAATTTGAGTAATAAGGCCATCAAAACAGCTACTCTATGCTCTAAGATGTGGCTAAGATATGTTGAGAGTATACTTGTACTATGGCTGCACACTATAGACAAGATCAAAGAATGCATGAATTATTTGAACAGACAATATCCTGCAACAATATTCACAACAGAAATAAAAAATAAACTCCCATTCTTGAACATGATGTTTACCAAGACATATACCACAGGAGTTTACAGGAAGCCCATAAATAAAAGCAAATACCTTAACTATAAATCAAATCCATCACAACAGTGTAAAGAAAGATATCATAGACAATCCTAGAACTTCAGAGAATGAACAAGATTTGTAACATTAAAGAAATTATGAAGAAGGAAGAAAAACAAAACACTATAATCCTCTTTCACAATAGATGTCCAGTTCATTTAATAATAAAGAAAAGAAAGATAAACACAAAGAATTGACAAGAAGGAAATTACAGACATACAGTCACATTCTTTTATGTCACAACTGGTACACACCAAACTACCTAAAGATCCAATAAGAAGAAAAAGACCAATGAAAGTCAGAATTGAGGAGCACAATAAACGTGTAAGACTCTGTGATACTAGTCTATCTGCAATAGTTTATCATGCCAGAAAAATAAAAACTGCATTGGAGATGAAATTGAAAACTTACCTTAAGAGAAAAAGTTTTTGTGAAAATGATGATTACCAGCTTTACCTCAGACTCCAAGAAAAAAAAAAAAGAGATCCCAGCCTTAACAACAAGACTAACAGAAAAACAATTTTTTTTACCAAATATCCTTAAATTAGGTGAGAAGTTCAAGAGTTTATGCCAAATGTTTAACAAAACGTTTGTTTCAAAACACCCAAATGAAACTGAAATAATCAATTAATGAGTTGAAGCAAGAAGAACTAATCTACAAAAATACTGTGTTCATGCAGAAATACATAAATTGGAGAAACAGCTTAAACCATATAACAAAGATTAAAATAACATAAATATGCAGCTATAATTACACATCTGGAAAAATTAGCTTTGTTAGAACGTAATTGAAAACAGACCATATTATAAACGAGGACTAACCTCAAATTGTGGACACAGTTCACCAACTGAAAATCAGGAAAATTAAAGAATCCCTTTATATCAAATTATACCAACCTACATTAATTGAGACCACAACTTTGACATCACGTTCCTCTGGACAACCTTTCTCACCAAACTTTACAAAATGAATGATGGCATCACACAACACTTCCAGCTATGCCTACTCACACAGAGAAACAAGTAACTAGGAAAGAACTCTATCATAAGACCCTACTGACCAACAAAAATATTGCACAATTGACAACTTTGACATTGACCTGAAGAAGGCATCAGTAAAGAAACTAAAATGTTCGACGACGAGGAACCCACTTTGAGACTAATAATGGCTGGAGACAGGTACCTGATGATGACAAAACCTTGTCGAAACGTTGTACATTTGCTGTTATGTTAAACTTATATTAAAGTTTTTCTTCATTACCCATTTAAGCCATCTCCAGCCATTATTAAACTAAAATGTTGTCCCATTCTAGAAACAGCCAGGAGCAGTCCATTAAAACCAGAGTATATTACAGTAATTCACACCCTTTAAACCAACATCTCCATAGGCTTTCTTGGAGCACATGGTGAACTGCCAATATTGAAATTGGGTGAATGTTGAAGAATAGGGCAAAAACAACCTTCATAGAAATTCAGCTGTTTTCTGTGGTGATTGGCAGAAAGAAGAAATGCCAAGGTTCTGTGTAGGTATTAGACAGATGAACATGATAACATGAATCGATGTTTTTCTGCTTCCATGAGAAAAAAAATGTGTGGATGTAGTAGAAGGGACCATTTTATGATAGATGTCTTCCAGCTGCTAGCAAATGGAACTGGACAATGAGAGTAGACCTAAGACTTCTTTCAGCACTCATATTTTTTGTGCACATAATTTGCCATTTTGAAGGGACTGATAAAGCACACACTTAGAGGATTTCAGTGAAAGAAATGTCTTATTTATGTCAATGTTATATAGATCTTTAACTGCAATTTTCAATCAACAGCTGAGAATCCAATATAGGCTTGAAATTGAAACCAGGAAAATATGTGTTAATGTGCACATGAGTGTAGTTTCTCAGTCACATAGCAGCTGGGATGTTAGTGTCCACTGAACCTATGAAGATCTCAGTGGGGAAGAAGTGACCTTGACCTGAGGCCAAATGAAAAGTTCTCAGCTTTCTACGTTTTCACCATCTCATTGACAGTTTATGGCCAATTTCTCCAATACAACTGCACCACAGTCTGCATTGATTATGGCTGTTATGCTCTCTTTTTTGTGGACACAAGAATGTGAACACATATTCAATCCTTGAAGCATACTTTGGTCAAGGCAATTGTGCTGGTTTATCCATTCATCCTGTATACTGGCACAAGTAATAGCAGAATTAAGAGTGTTTTTGTCACAGGTACAAGTATGTTACTACATATTCAAACCCTCTGCTAACAGCTCCTTAATGCTGACAGAAATGGAATTGTAACTGCTTGCAATTGTAGTATTTGTCAAACATTACCACCACTGCTTGTATCATTAGGGAGTTCACAATTCTGATCTATGAGTCAAAGCTCTTAGCAAGATGTTGGTTTGATATATTGTGATTATTGCTTAACTGATCTAGTGAGAGATAGTGGCATTTCTGTAAAGCAAACCATGCAGTACTCACTAAATACACAGGTACAACAGGTGAAATTGTCACATAAAACGCTAAGAAATTGACAACTGGTCTTGATTGCTAATGATAACTGGAAACTCTACAACTCGATAAGTTAAAAGAACTTTGCTTTCCATATAATCCTGTTAATTTTTATGATAAATATTGAGGTAGAATTTTCCTGAGAAAACTTGTGATCTGGAACATAAGCTGATATATTCTTGTGTTTTATCATGGAAGGTTGCACCTGTTTGTCTGGTAGGTCTGTACCAGTCTTCCTGAAGTCCAGTAAGAGAATTATGCTGTAATACAGAGTATGAGAACTTGAATTGGACTGAATTAATCAAACAAAATGTGTTTTATTTGTGATGACACTGAAAACTTCACTTTTGGGAAGATTATGAAAAAAGCTCTTTTTAATGCAAAATATTCATATACTCGGATCATAAAAATGTATTCAAATTGAGGATTTACAGTTTACAAGACTAGAATATTCCTTGTACTTAATGGCATTAGAAAGCAAGAGAATATGGTTCAAAAAGAGACACCAAGACTATCCAGAAAAAACCTGCAACAAGGTGTACAAATGCTGTGTCTTATAAGTGAGAATCCACAAACACAAAGGTCTGTGTATAACAGTGTAAAATATCATACCATTACAACCAGCATTCAAGAAAAAAAACAATTTATTAAATTATAACAACTCTCAGAATAAATTTTAACACCAAAAACACAGTTAATGAACATGTACCTGGCTAGGACTTGATACTAATGTTAATGAGCAATAAAACATAAACATCAATATTAACTAATAACAAATAATGTAATCGGGAAAAAGAACCAGAAGAAGAAAAACCTAATTTAAAAAAAAAAACAATATTCCAAAGTCACCTTTATATATTAATGACAATATTGAGTGACAACTAGCAGTAATCCACTAACTATATCATTCACTATCTCATGACTCCATTTATGAAGCCTATGGCAGGGTATTTATTCACTGCTTAGGTCACATATGGCAAAAGTTGTAATGAATATTTCACAAAACAGTAAAGCAACATAAAAAGTGACACAAGTTGCTTCCATGACATACTTCAAGCATCTGATGAACGAGTTGGATATTCATACTATATCATTTGAAGATATACTGATTAAGTTGTCAGGTGCAGCACTTATGGATTTTTGTGTGATTATACTGTTCAAATGAACACTGGGAAGCCATTGTCTTTGTACACTAGATGAATTATGGAAAGCAAAAGAGAGGAGTGTGTGCTTTGGACATGAGAGCCTTATAACAGCCATTTACAATGGAAACTATGCTGAAGGGCCATTGTCAATATGCACTTTCAACAGATAAAGTATGGCCAGACATGGCAACATAAACTGTAATGATAGTATGAAGCTCCGAAATCGTTTGAATATAACGTACTCAATCTTTGTATACTAATTACTTAACTAGTTTAATGCACAACAAATAAAATAACATACACACACACATATATATATATTAATTTTAAATATAGTAGATGGTGGCTAAAACACTCGGTCCCTTCCTCTGTTTTATTATTATGGCCAGACAAGATAGAAGCTAATGTTGTTGAGTTTTAGTTGTCTTGAAGGTTATTACTTCCTTTGATATTTGGCTCCCTCGATTTTGTTTGTTTTAATTATGCACAGAGCTACACAAGGGCTATCTGTGCTCTGCCCACCACGGGTATCGAAACCCGGTTTCTAGCGTTGTAAGTCCGTAGACATACCGCTATGCCACGGGGGGCAGCTCCCTCGATTATCTTATTTTCCACAAGCAGCTTTTCTGTAATAGTTACCCACTAAATAATCTTAGCCCCACCCAGAAACATTTTGTAAGTCTGCAATATTTTTACCTGCACCTAGTTTACCTTTCAGATGATTTTGAAAACATTGTGAATGAGAAAGGAGATGATAGTCTGTACAAAGGACATTGGAAAATACAACGTCACAGTCAGAACTATGCTGACTTTGAACACATGTAAAGGGGCTGGTCTAGAAGGAGACATGTATCTCTGTGTAAGTCATGATTATTTTTTGTTGTTGTTTTTTATATATACATCCTTTAAAAACTGTCACGATAGTTTGGCGTGGGAGACCACGATTGTATGCTCTAGACAGAACTTTATTTTGAATATTTCACCACAATATTTCTCTTGTAGTGTTGTTTCTAAACTTAATTGCTGAACAGAAGATTAACTACTCTCTATAGGTATGTGAAAATATACAATGTGGGATTCTAAGCTTTGTAAGTATTCATTGCACTGTAAGACTAACATTCTCATCCACAAGATTGATTATCTTAGTCCCGAACCCGACCAAAAACAGAGGAACATTTTGTAAGGTAAGTGGTCACTTCCAAAGTACATAGGCATAATCTATTGACTGAAAAGACCCTAAAATATTCTGCAGCTTATTTTCAAATATTTTACCAAAATAGCTGGGTGGACATTGCACAAATTGCTCATTATGTAACTTTGCACTTAACAACAAAGAAACACACAGGTTATTGGTAAAAAATATTATGAAGTTCCTTTTGCTCTAACTACCTATTGTTTTGAGTCATTTACCTAAGATGTCACCTTTGTCTTCCCGTGGGAAAAATTCCTTTAAGATTCTACATATTATGTACGAAAGTAGACAACAATCTTTCTCCACTGACCAGTCTGGTGATATTTCGAGACAATGGCCTCCCTCATGTTCAATAGGAATGATCAACAGTCACGTTGGTATAACAAGTCATCCTGGGAAAGATAGCCTTGTTTTCTAATTTATATAATGATCTGTTTTCTTATACTGGTACCAATGTCGTCGTTTTGGTGGTGGCATTTGTCATAGCTAATTTATCATGGTTTCGGACATTTTGAAGTTGTTGAACATTTACTCAATTTCTAGAAAATAGTGTATTATTGAGAATGATCTTTGGCTATATACTGTGTTGTATATTAACGATTGTCAGTGTTTTAGTTGTGTTGTGTCATGTGTGAACCTAACCTAATCTAAACTAAAAAACAATTGTACCAAAAGTTAAATACTTAACAGTGTTTAGGTAAACTAGTGTCTTAGAATCCTGGAATTTCTTGAGATTTTTTCTTACCTAATTTTGGGATTCTTTGAATGATAGAGTGGGATCACTGGGTATGTAGTGTATACAAGGTAGTCATGTCTTGAACCAAGTGCAGTATGTCAATGTCGATTTCATTGATATCACCTTCAATCACAGTGACACTGAGTAATGCAGACACACCATATTTTATTATTAATATTTTTAATAATATATAATATATCGATATTTATCAACCTTTCTTTTTGTTTTATTTTGCAGGCAGATTTTCTAATTAATGTTGTAAATTGTAACTTTCCATTTGATTGGTAACCAAGTTTAAGTTTCGAATAAACATGTCACCGCCTCCAAGAAAGCGGCTCAAGCGAATAAAAACTACGCTGTAGATTGTGCAAAAGGAAGTTTAATTCTGACTTCCGCCATGCACATAACAAGAAGTATCACTCAGGAGAACTGGCTGCAATGACAGGAATTCCGTATGAAACAGTAGATTGTGTGGTGAATCCTTTCGTGGCACGTACGGAAAGGCCAAAATCTGTCAATAAAGTAAGTTTATTTTATATGTATAAATTTTGAGATAGAAATTAATAATGTTATATTTTTTGTATGGGTATTTATATTTTATAACTTGACAAGTTTTTTTTTTCACTCTTACTCAGGTTGTACCAGAAGAACAAATCATTGCCTCATCAGAGGGTCAAGAGCAAGTCACTCCTAAGCCAAATGGAGCAGAACAAGTTATTCCTCAGCCGGATGATCAAGAGCAAATGATTCCTCAGCTGGATGGTCCAGAGCAAGTTACTCTTCAGGTGTGTTATTTTTATATGATAAACTTAAAGATAGAATTTGGTAATTCAAAGTTCTGTATGTATTTGTTATGCACTATTTTTTTGTCAAGTAGGGTATTTCTTTTTTTTCCAGGTTGTAACACGAGTACCAGTTACTCCTCCATTGGACAGTCCAGAGCAAGTGACTTCATCATCGAATGGTCCACTGCAACAAATTGCCTCAATGGGTTGTCCAGAGTAACTTACTTCTCATAAAGATGAACCAGAACTGGGTCTAAATGTTCAGACAGATCGACCCAGTCAGACAGTTAACGTTACTACAGAAAGCTGTGTGTGAGTTTTTAAATGAAAAATTCCCCTCTGATTTTGATCTGTATTGTGGTAAAGGTTTTTAATTTTTTGACATATACAGAATGACATTTCCTAAAACAGGACCATGTCAACCTGGAGCTGAAAAACATTTCCGATAACTGTAAAAGGTGATTCCCGTTCACTCCAAGAAAGCTGGTATACGACTGGTACTGGCCATAGAGATTAGTTATCATACTTACCAACTAAGGATGCAGTTTTCTGACACAAATATATATTTTTTCCGAATTCCATAGAGACAGCATCTAGATGAATAGGTATGCGTAGTTGGAAGAATGCTTTGTTTTGTTTTGTTTGTTTTTGAATTTCGCGCAAAGCTACA